GGGTTGACAGATAGGGGTAATAGGGGTTGACAGATAGGGGTAATAGGGGTTGACAGATGTATAAGGACTGGTTGGCTGCAAGCCGTGTCAGTATGACACTTTGAGTGCACAGGCCTCTCGCCCTTTGATCCACAGCAGATACTTGCTCGTTTTCAAACAAAGGATGTTTCAAGACCTTCTACAGCTGATAGTAGTACCTCAGCACTATCGGCCAGTGATTGGAGAAAGATTGAGCGATTGCTGCGCGTTGTAGTTGAGAGTGTGTACAACTCTCATGCCAAGAAGCTCTCTCACACTATCCACACTATTGTAGTGCAAAAGACTCTGCTACAACACGAAAATCAGCATCTCCGAGATGCTTTCATGAATGAGAAGAAGCATAGGCAGCGTGGCAGGGCCTTGCTGCTCGAAGCACCGGCTGAGTATGATGGAGGAGCTCAATGGTGGAGTCCTAAGAAGGTGCAGGATGCCCGTGCTCGGTAAGAGGCTGCAGACCTTCAAGAACAGGAGCAATTACTGCAAAAGGCTAAGGACGCTTGCCAGAAAGAGGAGCAGAAACTTATCAAACAACAGCTCATAGAGGACAGGAAGCTTGGGCAGATAGCGGCCAAGGTTAGGAGGCAGGAAGCAGCCGCAGTGAAGGCCTTGGAACAGGAGCAAGCCACAGTTGATCGAGAGCTTGCCAAACAACTTAAGGATGATCTACAATTATCCAAAAAGAGTAAGAGGCTCAGCTTCAAGCCGATAAAGCCTCTCAAGAAGCCTGCAGTTCAAAAGCTTGATGTTGCAGAGCCTGTAAAGTGTGAAGCGGGTAGTCCTCTGCCCGCCACAACAACCACCCGCCGTGGCCGCAATGTCAAGAAACCTGTCAAGTATGAATAGCAGTCTTAATCACAAGCATTAACAAAGTACTCCACCAAGAAATCTTGCAATAATAACTATTGTGCGTGGCTCTATAGCCTCATCTTTGTGTGGTGCTGCATGCCGATTTTTGTGCACAAGCCGATAACGTGCACAGGCCAATGGAACACTGTAATGTTCCAATTAAATCTGAATCACGGACGCAACCCCGCATTTTATTGGTTCTACAAACATCCTCAGATACCTTCGATGAAGACATCGCTACGCATGAAGTAATCCATTTAGTCACAAAGGTTTTGCAGCAGGTCGGACAGCATGGTGACTCGGCAGCAGCTCAGCACCAGATCCACCGCCACTTTGCCGGGCTCGAGGTGGTTGCTCTGCAGTCTAACAAATCCAATGCGGCACAAGCGAAAGCATTCAAGGTTACTAGGGTTCATTGCCCTTAGGCTCTGTATAGTGGATAGGTCTCTGATGTTTACAATAACCTCACGCTGTGTCTGCACAGATGGTGCTTTAAGACATTGTGCATTGTATGTACCTGCTAGTGGAACGCCTCAAGCTGCCGCTGCAGCATACCTCATTGGTCCATTTGCCTGCTCTTGTGGTCTCTTGTTCCTGATCTCTTGCCCCATTTCCAGCGTCACCTTACCCACCTCTGTGGCGTCCTCGGCCACTGCCATCGCCTCCTCCGCTATGTTGCCGTTTCGTTGTATGTTTGCTGTGGATTGTTGAACAACTTCTACAGTAGATTTGAGCTCTTGCTTAATCTGATCAAGGGTCTGCGTTGTGTTTTCTGCTGCAGCTCTAGCCTTGGTTTGTGCAACGTTGAGAGCGTCGTTGAGGCTGCTGAGGTTGGGGGAGTGCTGCGTCTTTAGGACAAACGTCAGTGCGCCGTGTATAATGTCGCTGAGAATGTCTGCTGGCAGAGGCTGTTGGTGTCACGAGGATGCTACGAGTAGGCCCTTTAGGACTTGCTAGGAGTCTAAATCAATTACTACATACGGTATCTAAGTAGGTACAAGACGTTGTGTACCAAACAGAACTCTACCAGCAATAGTCTATATACTTACGTGTGGGTTCGTTCGGTTACCGGTTAATAATCGGAACTGAGTTGGATAGGTATCGGGGTTACAAGTCCCAGAGCGGAGCTTGCAGAATTCTGATACTCCTGCTTCAGAGGTTACAGGCCCGCTCCGGAGGTGACCAGAGGTTGTACGTCCACTTCGGAGGTGTGTAAGGACGCTGGGGATTTGGTGCGTACGGTCAGGGACAGTATGGAGCGGATCCGGATATTGTCAGGGGATCTGGAGAGGATACCGTGACAGTTGGCCTCCATTGCGCTCAATTAGTGACAGTACTTTGTGGAGGAATGCACTCAGATTTGTAGCGTGCTCGTCTAATGGAATGGGCCAGGTCGACCTTTGAGGCCACGGTATTGCCATAACGTCTCAGCAGCAGTGGGCACTACTCCTGGTCATTAGCTAATGCTGTCTCTAGTCGACGTTTGCGTGCGTTAAACTATGTTGATTCTAAAGAATGAGATTCTCGCTGTTGTTGTGTTTTCCTTGGCATGCGTTATGACTAAATTCTGCATTGGGATTTGTAGAAAAAACAGGAGCTGCAAGGACGCGCCTTGGCACTTGGCAGCTGCGTCATAGGACGTAAGGAAACGCGCACGCTGGCGGTGAAGAAACAGCCTAACAAACGAACATAAACATCCACTCCGCAAAGCGATAACCGGGGCCAATCATACGGCTTGCATTACGTCGCCCCTTGGCTGTGCTATCCTTCGCTTTGTTTCAACTTATCAACGTTGTGGATGCAATTAGCTCTTGCAGATGCTTGACTTTCGGAGCATCCCGAGGCTAGTGCACAGGATCGGCTAAGGCTTTCAGACAAGTTTTTCAACTTCAGACGCTGAGGCTTGAGCTGAGGGACATTCCAGGCAATGCTTGAAGATGCCAATACCTTCTACAGGATGGACATGGACCGAAGGACAGCCGCAGATTGGTTCATCACCAAATCCAGTGGACATTACCTGCATGCGTTCGAAGAGGGACGTTGGTGCCTTCATCGGAATACTAGCGCGAGCGTACGTGGCCCTACCTAATGTGCAGGGGCATACGCCTCAGTTCTGGAATGCTCGACGACGCGTACATACAATGACGGCAAGAGAAAGAGCCCAGGAACGAGTCAGATTACACAGTGGACGATCGAGGGGTTGCGTACGGTGACTATGAGGAAAAAGACACAAGCAACAAGGCTTATGGGAAGACAACGTCCGCAGCGTATAAAGATACCTGCTGTGCACGCTTGAAGAAGACATCAACATCCACGCTACCAACTCTCCGATCATTACTTAACTCTCAACTTCACCCGACTCCAGTCTTTCACTAAGCTCACCATGGTCGGTTTCATCAACGTCGCTAAGGCTACTGCCCTTGGATTTGCTGTCCTCGCAGCCGCTCACCCCGGCCACGAGGAGCACTTCCACAACCGTGCTGCCAAGCGCAGCTTCATGGCCAACTCGCGCCGCTCCCTGGACTCCTGCGCTGAGCACCTCGAGAAGAGGGGCACCCTGAAGTCTGCTGAGCTTCAGCGTCGTGCTTTCGTGGAGGACTTGCAGAAGAAGTCTCTAGCCAAGAGCATCCGCGCTCGCGACACCGATGCTGTACTCAACACCTCCCACCACTCAAGCATTCAGAACCTTCCCTTCCTTCCCGAGTCTACCATCTTCGCCGACAACTCGACCTGCATTCTCTCCCCCGAGGGCGAGATCGGACCTTTCTGGGTTACCGGCGAGCTCAACCGCGACGACATCCTCGAAGACGAGCCCGGTGTTCCCAACTACGTGTACGCCCAGTTCATTGACATCAACACCTGCGAGCCCCTCCCCGATATCTGGTTCGATATCTGGAACTGCAACGCCACTGGTGTGTACAGTGGTGTCCAGTCCGACGGCAACGGTAACGGAGATGATGCATCCAACCTGAACAATACCGCGCTCCGTGGTATCCAGAAGTCCAACGAGGACGGTGTCGCCCACTTCAGGACCCTTTTCCCTGGTCACTACGGCGGCCGCGCTACCCACGTCCACGTCGTTGCCCATCTCAACGCTACCCTCCTCCCTAACGGCACCATCACTGGTGGTAGCATTCCTCACATCGGTCAGTTGTTCTTCGATCAGGACCTGATCACCGAGGTTGAGGCTACTTCTCCCTACAATACCAACGATGTCGCCATCACCCTCAACGCGGACGACCACGTCGTTGTTGCCGAGACCGAGGACAGCAACTCTGACCCCCTGTTCAACTACATCTACTTGGGCGATGACCTTTCTGATGGTCTCTTCTCTTGGATCACCATTGGTGTCGACAGTACCCAGAATTACAACACCAGCTATGCTGCTTCTTACACAACCGAGGGTGGTGTCACCAACCCCGAGGGTGGCATGGCCGATATGGGTGCCGTCGATATGTCATCTGGCGCCTCCATGCCTGCTGCCTCCGCCAGCGCCTCTGCTTAAATCCTTCCGGGACAATCACCATGGCTACCACTGGTGCCTCCAGAGTATCAATCCAGTGCGCAATCGCAAATCAGGTGAAGAAGTCCTTTGGGATGGATAGGGATCGAAGTGGTGGGCCATGTAAGATTAACGTAGAATTGATATAGGAGGCTGTAGTCGTTACCATTCAAGAAAATGCACCTTCGTTTTACAATGTTTTGCCTCTGCAGATGAATTGTAACAAAGACATTATCTGGTGATGAAATCCGTTGATGAAATCCGCATACATGCACCTTAGTTCAGTATGCTCCTTTCGCGCCACCTACACACCCATCTTTTGAGAACCTACCTGTATTGATCACGCTGCCAGCATGTCTAACACTCCGCTGGGTTTATTGCCGACACGCCTGGCAATCCCGTCGCCTGAAAATGCCCGCGATCGGCCGATCATCAATTGCGGTGCGAATCCTCCGCGATTCGCTTTTGTGTTATTGTTTTGGTTGTTTACAACGCGTCGCCAAAGCGGGGAAGTTGCTAGGATGAGATTATAAATGCGTAATATAGCTCTTGTACAAAGGGATCCTTCTGCATCCTTTCATACTTCTCAAGATTGTTCAAAACTCACATTATGAGCCATTCTACGTCAGGAAGTCAGCGGAAGTGATTAGCAAGCCACCTTAGGAATGCTGAGCTATCCCAGCGTTGTAGTAAACGATTTATGCGATTAGGTCTCTCGAGTAGTCCCAACACGGACTCAGCCGCGACTGTCGTGTGATTTCCACCGCGAACGGTTCCATTGCGTTCAACTCTTCCTCAAATTACGCCCTTTGTTAAATGCAGGGCGCTCTCATCATCTGATCTCGCAGACTTTGGCAGGCTCCCTTCCATTTGAATTGGTAAGCGGTATCGAAGTCGCACGCTATACTCGGCATTTCCCCACTTGAGTGAGCAGCGAAGAGATCTGGGTCCGTCGGCATAGCGAAAGCATCTAAGATCCAAAGGTTTTACGTTGTCACGTCCAGACTCAGGGCAACGGGGAGGATCTTTGCAGAGAGCAGGAGTTTCCCAGACTCGATTTTTCCGTACATGTCTCCGTGCGTAGCTAGGTAATGCCGAAGTACATTGTGCTTCCGGCTCACTTCCTCATGCAGTGGGTTTCCCTTCAATGATCAAAAGAGCTTGGTGTACTACTTAAAGAGAAGTTCAAGACATATTTGTTCTTTTGTCCAGACACTCACCTATGCACCAGCCTCGATTACCAATTATCCTTATGCCTCTCTGCCAGCCTTACATTCACGGGGAGTGGAACAACGAGTTCATTCCCAGAGACATTATGTCCAATGCAGAACGGGATATCAATGCCCTCATACGTTTATACTATTTTCGGCACGGTTTCGAGGATGCGCATGTTTACCTGATGTCTCCGCTTTCGAAATTAGGCTTCATGTCTTTGAACAGCATCAATGACCGGATGAATCCACAAGAACTGGACTACACGCGATCGAGCCTTTTCCTTGCTCTAAGAGGGCTGCACGAACAAGGCTGCAATTACTATAACACCAGGACAATATACTACATTCTTAAGAACCAGCTTCGACCTGAAGAAGCACGACTCTCACATGGGTTGGACGACCCAGAGACGGCGTCTGATGAGAAACCCAGTCTGGATAGTGAGATTCAATCAGCGTGGACTCCCCGCATCGTTGATATATCAGATGACCCGGTTATAGAGGAGTTGTCGAAGTTGGCGAAACAGTTCTTGACCCTCGACTCAGGCGAGCAGAGCGATTATGAGACAGGTAACAATTCGCCTTTGTCGACGTGAAATATACAGACGCGCGTTTGCATTTCTTGACGATATAGACCCATGGCTCAACCACTCGTCGTGTGAGTGCAAGTACGCAAAATGCTCTCAGCGCCGTGGCGCATGCTTCAGGGCTTTAACGGGTTATGGCTTGTCAGATCTTCAGTAAACAAGACAATAGTGCTCTCAAATCCATACCCATAAAGATCCGCCGCTGTTTGCCCAGTACTTTACTTTTACTGGCGTGTGAGGGCACTGTAGGCAGGCGATCAGATATGGGACGAATAGGCGTATATTGGGTGAGATGGAAGACGAATCCTTAAGGATCCGAACTCTGGGGATTCGTGGGGAATACCGAGCTTGGCCACCGGATGGGCCGGGGCACCGGATGGGCCACCCCAACCACATCAAACAATCACAAAGATGGGGCTGCACAACCACATACAATAGTTATTATCACGAGAAAAGTTGGTGGTTTAGTAAATAGATGCTTGCGCACAATTTTTACTATTTAAATTTTGCTGGAAGGTTGATGCTGCGTCCCCGTGTTGTTATGCGCCTGGGAGGAGACGAAGGCAGCAATGCAGCTGCACCTCCACTTGCACCACCTACTGCACCACCACCACAACGAGATTTTTTGCTGACGCTTTGAGAGGTTGTTGGGAGAGCTCTCTTCAGTGGTCCTACAGATGTTCTTGTGTTTACAGCGTCTTTTTCCTGCTGCTTTTGCACCCGGGCTGCCGCGCGTTCCCGCGCCTTTGCTTCCGTGTCTAGGCTGGCAAATGGGGTAGGGTATCCACTTTTCTTTATATGCTTCTGACTTCTTAACTAGTAGAAAAAGCCAGTTGTAATGTATTACACAATAAAAGCGCACGGACTAGCGTTACAAAATGAGCCTAAAATTGCCTAATTTGGGCTAGTTTTGATGGAATTTTGGGGGGTACCCAGCTTTTCTCTGGGTAGGGGTAGCCATCGGCTAAATCAGCAAACTAAAACGTTAATAACTCCAGCTATAAAGTAGATACTAAAAACTTTGTAACGTACTGTACAAGCGAGTCACGCATACAAGCGAGTCTCGCACCTTACCAAAATCCCAACTATTACAGCAATGCCTTACAACGCTATAATATATATACTGTATTATCTCAAATAGTGTAGTATTACTCAGAAACATCGCTATCTACTGTATCTAATATTTCTACCTTACAGGTGCACGAGTTGTGGCCAGTCTTGTTGCAATGCCCGCAGCGCCTCTGCACGCGCACCCTCTTCAAGGGCTCTCCACCCTCTTCCTGCCCACCACCATTATCTGTAGCAAGTAATTCCTTTACTTCCTCTACTGGCAGGGTCTCCTCAGTCCTAATGTACCTTCGTTTTCTGTGTTTACGCGTTGTTGCTATCTCTGTTGCCTGCCAAAGGTTGGCAAGCTCTTTGCGCATCAACACCATGTTGAGCACCATCTTTGCAGAGCCCTTTTCAAGCCTGTTGAGCGACTCTATGATAGAAGCTGGTGAAGAGCTTTTGTGATGTTGTATCCTATCTCGAATAAGCGTTGATTGAGCCTCTATCTCTTTGACGTTGCTTGGTGTTTGAGAAAGCCATGGGAGGTCCTCTGCTGCTGGTGGTGTTGGCGTACGCAGCTGTACATCAAGCTTCGATAGTACTGCATCTGGATTATATGGTACTAGGCCAGTAGCGCGGAAACTAGATAGGATATTTGCCTTTGTTATTGTACAATTGTAGGCCTGTTGAAACGCTGGTATAAATGCTTCTTTCTTGACAATAGAGATGTGGATGCGTGCCAAGGCCAAGATCTCATCCCCATATTGTGAGAGGGGGCCAGTGTTGAAGTCGTACTTTAAGCAAAGCTCGTAAGCACTATTCGATTGGTTCTCGAGGATGAACTCTGGTTCTGGAACAGTAGGGGTAAGTTGCCTGGGTGAAACACCTAACGATGGCTTGGTGTGAGAGGGGGCCAGCTGGGGATACCAACTGCTCTCTGAGATGGAAGGATTGGTGGAAGGATGGTTCAGGCTTGTTGGAGATAAGGGTGTAGAGGAGACCAAGTGTGGGGATACCACAAGTGGTAAAAGGGATAAGTGATAAAGAAGGGATCAAGTGTGGGGATACCACAAAGGATCAGTGAGGAGTGAGTTGAGGAAGGAGTTGTTGAGGTGAATTAAAGGAGTGGATTGAGTTTTGAATTGCAAGCATGAGTTATCTGAGCAGGAGGGCAGGCTGTCTTTATAGACAGACTGCTGGCTCCTGGAGTGTTCTAGATACATTGGCATTTGTAATCATTTGTAATCATTTGTCAGCATTTGTCAGCAACCAGAAGATTCTGTGTTGTTCCATGGGATTCCATGATGTTTCATGGGATTCCATTCCCGTGGACAGCGCTGGCTAAAAAACATAAGGTTGTGCGCTCAACCCTGTCTCGAAAATATTGACACGAGACGCAATTGAGTGAAGAGAAGGCAATTGCACAACAAAAGCTCACTCCACATCAGGAGGATGAGCTTGTCAAGTATATAGAGGAGCTTACAGCTCGCCGTCTACCTCCTACAAGGGAAATGATAGCAAATTTTGCGTCGTCAATAGCCACAGAGCCAGTCAGCAAGAGCTGGGTTACCCGCTTCATCAACAACCACTCGATCCATCTCATCTCTCAATACTCAA